CCGCGGCACCTGCTGCGCTCGGCTCCTGCGCGCGAGCGCCCCCTCCAGCCGGGACGTGCCGCGGCCGCCCGGGATCCGCGGGAGGAGGGCGGGGGAAACGGGACACCCGGGGCCCGCCCGGCCGGAGGAGCCCCTGCAGGGCCGGCCTCCGCCGGGCGGGGCGAGGGAGGAGGCGTGCGGGCAGGGGGCGCGGGCCGGCGGGGGTTCCCGGGGGAGTCGGCGCGCGCTGGGAGCGTGTGGACACGGTCGTCCTTGAAGCGCGCCTCCCGCAGCCGCGCAGGGCCCCCACCCAACCGCGTGTGTCGGGTCTCCGTGACCTCTGTCGCTTTAGAGGTGTCCAGCGGCTCAGCTGCCTGCACCCCACTCCCAGTCCCGAGCCCGAGGGTCACCGGCCTTCGGGAACAACCCTCTGCCCTATTTCGAGGCTCAGATAAGGTTGATTTTTGTGTCAGCGGAGCGCGGTCAAGGAGGTGCGTTTGCCAATTTCAGGTCTCCAGTCTCCCGCAGCGTCAGGTCACCCGAGACCGCCTGCAGCACCCCCTCCCAAATCGCCATTTCCTCCCCCACTCCGAAGTGAGTGCTATGTAAGCACAATGCTAGAAGGATATGTCTCCAACCCAAGTTATGTATACACGTTATAAACGTGATGGCATTCCCCAGCCCCTCCCCAAGATCTCGGATTCACGTTTGGAACGCCTTGTGCACAGGCGCACACATCTACACTCCGCACAAGAAGACAGACCTCTCCCTCCTCTCGCCTGCTCCAGCGCCGGCGGTGCCCAGCCAGCGCTGTATAAATAACACCAGCCCTGCGGCAAACGGCTGCATTAGCATGTTTCCTCCTGCACCCAGCGCCCGGCCCCAGTGAGAATTACGCGGGACCTTTCACCCCAGCGTCCCCACATGCTGGAGAGAGTTCATATTCTGAGTTTATTAATGGAAGTCTTAAATGGAGCAATCCATTTCTGGTCTTATTTGGGGCAAAAAAGAAATGCTTTTGCTTTCTAAAACAATATACTCTAAGCTACATATACTGAATGTATTCCTTTGCATTTCAATTATTTGCTCAGCTAACCGCTGTATAATTTAGCGGAATAAATTTTTAACCTGCAGTTCAATGTTATGGGCAACACGTGCTTACTGCATAAAACGCTGGCACGTGCGAGAGAACTGTTTCTGAAGGCTACCAGTGGGTCAGGCGTTGGGGGCCAGGGGAGGTTGTAGACTTTCCTGCGTGGCTGAGAAGGGGAGATTAGATAACAATAGGCGGAAGGGGCCCAAAAGGGCTGTCAAAAACAACAAACCTCTGAGAAATGGGTCCCAAAACCTGCACGTATTTAAAGAGCTTTTGGGGGTGATCATGAATATCGCGTGTGAGCTAATGATTTTTTCCAACTTCACAGTATTTATTAGCTTAACTTTTCCTTCTTTCTTCTCCCCTCATTCGAAGAGATAAAACATGTTAAACACTGACCCCACGCCTAAGGTAGAGTAAGCGTTCAATGAATGTTAGCCACTTACTATCATCCCTACTCTGGATGTTTCATACAATCTGCATTTCTCCTTCCGAATTTAAATAAAACTTTACAGATTTCATTTATTTCCCCTTCAGCGGCTGACTTTTCTAGAAGACGTCTGCTTTGTGTTTGGCTCTGTCTTATTTGCCCACGGTCACAAGGACCCATCCGTTTTCTTATTTAAGAGAGAGAGAGAGACTGGATCTGACTATGTTGCCCAGGTTGGTCTCAAACTCCCAGCCTCAAAAGATCCTCCCAACTCAGCCTCCAAGGTAGCTGGGATTACAGGCATGAGTCCTGGCTGGCTCATATAACTCACTGGAAAAACAAGCATTGCCATTGACCGTAATGGCCATTCTAATCAGAATAACAATCATAGTGAACTTTGCAGAATCCGCTTTCAAATTCACACTCTCACTCAATCCTCATATTCAATGCCTCAAGAGGTGGGCTTTAGACTAAGCAGTGAGGATTAGGCGACTGACTACCAGATCAAAGAGTTGGCCCACAGCAGAGCCAAACAGCTGGTTTTGAACCCAGATATTCTGACTGGACATTCCAGGGTTCCTCCATTTCATCGTACAGGGGCTGATTACAAAACCATAGGAAAGAGTTTAAAAAGACATGTGTTAATGTGCGTTTTTAGGTGGCAGAAGCCTTGGCCTCAGGAAAGGAGCTTCATTGTGAAGAAGTCATTTGTCTTTGTTCTGTCAACGGAAAAAAAGACCAAACTCTGAAAAGTAATTTTAAAGAGATTTACTCTGAGCCAAATTTGAGGACCATGACCCAGAGCCACGCCCAAGAAGCCTTGAGCAAGTGGACTCGCTGAGGCTGGGTTACAGTTTGGTTTTATACATCCCAGGGAGGCAGGGGTTACAGGTAAAGTCATAAATCAATACGTGGGAGGCATACATTGGTTTGGCCCAAAAAGGTGGGCCATCTCCAAGCTGGGGCCTTACAGGTTATAGGTGGGTTAAAAGATTCTTTGGCCTGTAATTGGTTAAAGACATGAAGCTTTGTCTAGAGGCTTGGAATGTTTCAACATAAGGAGCTCTTTATCAGAGATAAGCCACTGGACATAGATTTGTTGTGTAAATAGAGGACCTGCAGGTTTGTCTTGCATAGCCTTTGGCCTGTTAATGGGTTACAAAGGATGTCACCAAGAAGGGAGGGGGGCGTGATAAGGCACGTCTGACCTCCTTCCTCTTGGCAGGCAATTTAGTTTTAGGGTATTCCTTTGGCCACGAGAGGGTCCATTTAGTCAGCCGGTGGGGGGTGAGCCTTAAAATTTTATTTTAGTTCACAGTTCCCAAAATATAATTAAAAATCCTCAAATGGTATATTCTCAGAATTTGGGCACACACTGGAAAATGGTACCCTCTAAAACTGAAGCTAAAAGGAATCAACATAAAATATTTGGAATTAACCATCTGCAGTACTGACTCAAGTATTGTAATTAAGATGTTGATTAGATTAGCAGTTTCCCTAAATCCCTCTTGGATTGACATTTGCACCAAATCTAGTCAACAAGATTAAAATGTAACTAATTTGAAATAAACTGGCCTTCAATTTCTCAAAACATACCAAGAGTGACCTTATAACCCGAACAAAAGGAGTAAAGAGGAAGAATTTGACACTCTGACAGCCTCTGGGGTGAGATTTTAGGTCCACCAGCTAGTATAGGGAAACCAACCAGACACCTGCTATCAAATAACCCTTTCTAACTGTCTGTGTGGTAGTTATCATTACCTGCTATTTTTTTTGTTTATTTATTTACTACCTCGCACCTCTATAATGTAAGCGTCTGAGTACCTTGTACTCAGCTGTATCCCTGGTGGCCAAAACAGTACCTGACACATGCAAGATACTCATTACCTATTTGCCAAATAAATGAATGTACCGAGTTATCACTTGACGAACTATCTATTAAGATCATACAACTCTGCTTACTTTGATTCTTAAGTCACCAAGCAACCTTTTCATGTTTATTTAATCTCTCAGATATAGTGCTCAGATTTCAAATGAATTTGGTAACTATGTTTCTTATTGTAAGCTATTGTGGTTACTGGGTTACTCCCCAGATGAACTTCTTGTCGGCAGTATTGGCTTGCAGATGGTGGCTTGTAGGCCAAATGCAGCTCACAGACCATAGGCAATGTTTTCAGAAAAATAACTCCTAGCATTTCAAAATTGGGAGATAGAGCATTTAGGGGGAAAAAATGTGTTTTAGGTTTCTCTTAACATTGCAGAAGGCCTGGTCCTTTTGTGTCCCCACGTTTGTGGGCCATACTTTCTTGGAATGCAACAAATGGGTAGGCGCTCTCCACTTTGCCTGCATCCTTGCCTGGTACACACTGCTCATGCGTGTTATTTGGCCCCTGAAAGCATCTGAGTTTGTGACCCTAAATTTATGTTAGCATTCTGGATTCACTGATCTCTATCAATAAGCTGAGTCATTCTCTTTTCCTTTAAAAGCATGTTAAATAATGTACCAGTTTATAATTTCCTAAAAATTGAGAAAGTAAAGAAATGAAAGTCATAACCTAATCGCCAATACACTAGAACAATTTTATTTCCTTGGAGATAACAATAGAAAAAAATTTTAGCTTACCTCTAAAGTTGATGGAAACCTAATTTTAAATCCTCCACAATCCTGTAAAAGTTAATTTCAAGGAATTGGCGTCAGGGTTGATTAACTTTAAATGTGTAAGTCATACGAAATGGATTTCACATGGGTTTTACTTGTATATTTATGTTCCTTACACGTGAATTATAGATATATCACGTTTGGAATATCACGTGTCTTTCTTTTTTCTTACTGAAGCCTGATT